GATGCACAGCTCTGAATTAAGGGCTGCTGGCAATACCTGTTACTTGGCCCCAGGCCAGCTTCCACCCTGCTGGCGCTGGAGTTAAGCACTTAAGAAGTTAACATCCAAGACAAAAAAGTAACATCCCCTCATGTTGTTATAGCAGTTTCCTCTTTCCTCTGGGTCACAAAAATTTCCTACATTTCTTTATTTTTATGGTTAAAAAAACTTAGATAACAGCTAAAGAACGCAAGAAAAAAGCAACAATATACTCTTTCTCCTAGTCACTGATGACCACTATCAACAGTTTGGTGAATTTCTCTAGAATTATTTTCCTACACATAAGCTTCAGATTTTCTTAAACATCTTTTACTTAGTTGACATGGTTATTTTATTATAGGCCTTTCACCTAATACCTATCTTACAATATATTATACAATTTGCAAACAATGTTCATGGCTATTATTCTATAAAATGTACTACCACATTTTGAAAATATAGAAACAGTTAAGTTCCCAATATTTTAATAAAGCAAACTTACAAAATACCTTAACATTTCCTATCATTTTAAGGATAACATTTTGGAAGAAGTATTTTTAAACTTCGCATAAATAGCTCATAAAAGGAGAACAATCCACAGAATGGTAAAAATTATTTACAAATCATATCTGATAAAAGACTTGTATCTAGAACACAGAGAACACACAGGAATGCCTACTGCCTGCCAATAACAAGACAAACAAGCCAGCGTTCGTTCGAGTGGGCAAAGGTAACAGCGAACAATCTCGAATGGATCCTGCCTGGGGTTGCCCTTGCAGTGACGACACTCCAGCATGGCGCCAGGTCACCTGCCCTCCAGTGGCCTCCAGCTGCGGCTCTACACTCCCAGAAAGGTGAAACGGGTCACAGTGGGTTCTCCCTCAGGGAATCAAAACCTGAAAATCAAAAGACCCTCCAGAGTCTGGTGGCTGGATTTCTACCACACTAACCACCCAAAGGGACAGGTCACTGTTTTTAGTATGTCATGGACAGAAGAGGCTTTATTTTCAGGAGCACTATAGCATACTACTCTCAATTTTAAAGTTACTTTTTCTTTAAGCCAGGACATGCTTTGCTATGCCCAATTAGAGACATCCTGTTTTCATTCATACTTGTATGAATACAAAATTTTATCCTTCAAGATCTGGGGTTCTGGGGTGGGAATTCATATATTGTCTGCCTGAAGCCCTGGGTCCTCCAAACTATATTCTGTTTTTTTGTTTTTTTTTTTTTTGTTTTGTTTTGTTTTTGCGGAACCGGGGATTGAACTCAGGCCCTTGCGCTTGCCAGGGAAGCGCTTATTCCACTGAGCCATCTCTCCAGCTCCACCATCCAAACTATATTCTTAAAACCAGGTCAGAGACTGGAACTTCATCTGGCCCTCAGGCATCCCGGTGCTTGGAACCCAACTGCACGCCCACTTCCCTCTCGCAAGGAACTCCTCTCATCAATCACCAAGTATGCTACTTCCTTCTGCACCCAAGCGCCTCTCCACATTCCTTGTATTAACTATTCACGTAACATACTTACATACTCAACATGGTACAAGGGTCTAAGGGACGACATTCCTAAATATTAGATACTGAAGGGATTTGGCAAGTGAACGCTGTGACGAAATCAAGCTCGGATGCTGACTGGGGCACCCCTGCAGAGGATGAAGCTGAGTGCAGAAAGTCAGGAAAATGAAAAGGTATGAAGCCATCGAAGGTAAAGGATTTACAGCGGAAATAACTTCAGCAATCAACTCAAGTATTGCACAGAGTACAGGGAAGGAGAAAGGAGTCGAATGAGATGCCTGAAATTTCAGATAGCTGAGGATCAGCATGCGGCTAAACAGAGGTCCTGGCCACCCACGGTGAAGTTACAGATTACCAGATGACCCCCTCCCCAGGAAGAAGGGAAACAAAGTCAGAAGAGTACATCTGTTCATGGACTACAAAAGTTTCCAGAGAAATAGAAAGGCTGTTGAAGTGGAAAAACGCAGAGATATGAGTAGGGAAGGATGTCTACTGATAAAGGATTACGAACAGGGTTTCAGGGTAAATCCTGAGGGGATCTGACTGACCTTGTCAGATACAGAAGTTACATTTCTTGTTATATAGGTCTTGCTTTAACTTGGTCTTAACCATCCAGCAGAAAAGTACAAAATCAAGGTATGAAAAGTAAAGCCATATTAATGGGCTGAGCTATAAAAGGCTCAAGTCAACAACTTCCAACATTGCCAGTCCTACGGATAACCCACTACTCTTATGGACTACTAGACTATATTGGATTATTTTGCTGAATTCACACACCTACAATATTTAAATGGCAACGGAATATCCTTCTCTGGCAAAACTAAATAAAAAAGAGGATATAAATGAAGGAGCATTTTGTATCTATATATACAAAATAGGATAGATATTCAGCTACTTAATTCAATGAGAAGAAAGATTTGTTTTAATAGTGTTTGTGGAAAGAATATCATGTCTGTATCTTGTACTACAAATACCTATTATGAAGTCAACAATATGCAATGTATTAATTATTGTAACTGTCCTACTAATGTGTTTTAAAACTGTATCAATGCTATTTATTTCTCAATAAAATAAAAAATAAAGAGAAGGATGTCTGCTTAGGAAAAAAAAAAACAAAAAGGCAGGATCCCTGAAAGCACTCTGAGAAGCTGCAAGGGAGAGACTGCAGAGCCTCCTCTGAGAAAGGGCCAGCTTCATCAGAGGAAAATGGAAAACAGAAACCTTCATGCCTTGTAAAACACTGACTTTTCCAAAATACTCCAGTCACTGGTGGAGCTGGGATGCAGACTAGAAAGGGCACTACAGAAGCTGAAGAAGGGAGTGCAGACACATCTTAATGATGTTTTTAAATCATTAAAACCCCGCAGCAGCATCCACCACTCGTCCCTCTTGTGCCGCTGCTCCACACGGACTCCCACCTCCTGCACGCTGGGCCTCTCCTCTGCTTCCAAAGAAGCGGTGTGCTGCGTTTTATTCACTGCTGTACCCCTGCACCTGGCACAGTGCTTCACTGTATTTACAGATGTATTCCTAAATAAAGACTTTTGCTTAAAACATCACTGACCACGACAACATTCAGAACATTTACCAAGTAAGAATTCAGTCTTCATGATTTTGTATTTTCATACTCATGTTTTAAGTGTGTGTCATGCAGTAAGGTTAGGGCTGATGCACAACTAAGATTAAAGAAACCAGTCAATCCCTCACTGTCCCACTGCACCACTGTCATTGCCATACCATTCATCTCAGGTGAAACTGAACGTCCCCATTCTCAGTCTGCTTTTTAAGCAACTTTATAAGCTATAATTCACGTAGCATAAGTTTCACCCCATTAAAGGATACAATTCAGGGGCCTCTAATATATTCACAGAGTTGTACAATAAGCATCACTAACTAATTTTGGGACATTTTCATCACCCCAAGAAGAAAGCCAGTATCCATTTTTCCTCCCATCTCCCTTTTCCCCAAGCCCAGGGTAACTGCTAATCTCCCACGCACTTCCTATGGATTTGCCTATTCTGGACATTCCTACAAAAGAATCACATCTAGTTGGCCTTCTGGGTCCAGCGTTTTGGTGCAGCATGATCTCGAAGTTCATCTAGGTCGGGCACATCTCAGTGCTCTGCTGCTGAATGATACTCAACTGCACGGGTAGTCTGGCCCGTCTTTATCCAACACACCAGTTGATGACCACATGGCTGGTTTCTACTTGTTGGCTGCCGTAAAGAATGCTGCTATGAAATTATGTAAACTTGATCCTGAGGATTTAGAATGACAAATAAAAGTACAATTGTTTACATAACAGAAAAGGCTAAGCAGAA